CACACCACTGCCAGCACCAGTGCTGAGTGTCACCAAGGTGGATGGGGTGCCTGCTCCAGCCGGGAATGCTGCCAGTGCCTGACTTGGTGGGACGTGCTGCTGCTCTCAGCCAGGGGCCAGCAGGAAATCCCAGCTGGATGTCTCCCACCTCTGCTGAATCAGAATAACTGCTCCTGTGGAAAACCTAACTTTATTCCCGAAGCAGTGACGGCGTCATTCACACGCCCTGTTCCCTGCTCCTCGGATCCTCTCTTAGCTTTGTCTTTTCCAACAATGAAGCAGCACTGTGAGCAGCCTTCCTGTAAGTCAGCATCTCTCCCATCCCGCCGGTGACGTGAGCCCAGGGCTGAGCAGCTGCAGGAATTCATGGGAGTTCAGACCCGGCTGAACTTTCACACAGTGACCCCCAGGTCAGCATGGGAAGGAGTGGGATGGAGAGAGGCAGAAAACAAGGACACTCATTGCAGCCTGCCTGCTGGCAGCATGTCCTGCAGGGGACAGGGATAGGGATGGGGACAAGAACAGGGATGGGGACAGGGATGGGAATGGAGACAGGGACAGGGATGGGAATAGGAATGGCACAGAGATGGGGAGAGGGATTGGGAGGGGGACAGGGATGGGCATGTGCTGCCAGGTGTGGGGGGCTATTTGGAGGAGCTACTTGAGGTGCATGCCAGGGATATTGCCTTTCCTGGCCAGCTGGACTGGGGAGATTCCATGGGCATGGGGTTGGTGATGGAGATAGCAATGGGAATGGGTGTGTTGAGGGATGGGAATGGGAACAACCCCTGTTTCCAAAGACAGACCACCACAAATATAACTTCCTCTGAGTCCAGTGTTCCCTCACCTGGGGATGACCCCAGCCAGGGATGACCCCAGCTGGGAAGACCCCAACAAAGCACGCAGGGACCTGGGGGTAGCCCCAAGGGCCACTGCACCCTGCTGCTCTCTGTGCTGCTCCAGGGTCCCAAGGGCTGCAGGGTCTACTGGGCTGGGGCAGGATCCTGTGGGTCCCTCCTGGGGATGCATTCTGCTATGCTGGGTAGAAGGTCCTTTTCCCCCAGCCAGGAAAAAACCTCAGTCCTTCCCCAGCCCCAAATCAAGCTGGGTGGTCAGGACCCCACAGGGATTTAATCTGTAGCCCTTTTCCAAGCAGGGCAGACCAGGGCTCCCTCTTGACACAAAGAAATGCCCTGGCCAGCCCATTTTAAGCTATATTTAGACTGGACTGTGTCTGGCTGTGCAGAAGGCACTGTCCCAGTGACCCATGGTCGCTCCCAGCCCAGGAGCTCAGGGCCTCCAGGGAATTTTAATTTGTGTATGTTAAAAATTCGTATTTCTCAGGGCAAATTGGAGATGTCCCAATAGGAAAATGCAGCCAAAGGAAAATGCATAAATCAGGTGGCTTTTCAACAGGCTGTGGCTTCTTACATTACTGCTCTCCTGCCTCAGCACAAACACTAACTAGTGGGAACATGTCTGCCTCGGCACCCGGCGTAACCCCCTTGTTTCCCAGGACAAGCTCCAGCGTTGGGTAACGGCCGGGCAGGGAGCAGGGCTGCACACAGGATTCATTTCGCCTGACATCATTAACAGAGCAACAGTCAACACATGAAATTGTGCTTCCCTGTTTGCCCCAGTGACTCAGGGGTTGGTGTTTCCCAGAGCTGAGCGCTCCAGGCGCAGGCTCTGCAGGCACAGCTCCTGCCAGATCCCCCTCTCCTAGGATGCTGAAAACTGGTGGGGTCACCTGAAAATAATTAAGTCTAAAAAGAAGAATGTTCATGTTTTTTTTTCTGGGGGGATGATCCCATCTAGGAATTTTTGGCAGAGCTGTGACTGCCCCTCCAGCACTTGGGGGCGGTGGTGGGTACAGAGCAGGTCTGTTCCTTGGCGGGGGGCAGATATCCAACATCTGGTGTGACCTGGGGGTGCAGGGGCACTGCACAGCCAGGTGCACCACAAGGTCCCACACAGGGACCCCAGGCCCTGCAGAGAAGCCTTATGCTCTCATCCTGCCAGGGGGTGACTCCTCCCCATCCCTACCTCTCCATGTCCCCAGCTCCCCCCCAGCAGCCGGGTGAGCACAGAGGGGCCCTGCAGACACCAAAGGTTTGGAAAAAGCAGCAACCACAATTAGCATTTTTTGTGGTTTCTTTTTTTCCCCTGCAATTACCTATTTCCCCCCTTTCTTTTCCTTTTTCTTCATTTGAAAAATTCCTTCTGACCATGGAATAAAGTGAGAAAGCACCCCCTGGCAGAGGGGGCTGGGGGGTCTCCAAACTCTGCCTGCTGAAATTTTCCAAATTCCTCCTTTCTCAATTTCTACCTCCGTGACTCCCTGCCGTGCTGTCCCTGCTGGCTGCCTTGCCCCTCCCTCACCCTTTTCTTTGGAAATGCTTGGAGACAGCTCAGGGTTGGAGTAACAAGAAACCAGCGGCCGGTGTTTGTTCCTGCAGGAGCCTCCTACACCTCTGTACGTGAACACACCGACACAGAAGAGGTGCATCACTCCCAGCTACAGGGAATTGTTCCCCACAAAGGGAAGAGATGGGAAACCCTGCATGTTGGTTGCCTACTTGGGGAAGGGAGAGTAAGTTTGGCTGCTGCAAATGTTGGCTCCGCACGTCAGGGGAGAGGCTGGGCTGAAAAATTAGCGTTGCAAAACTGCAGCTAAAGTGAGCGGCAAATCTGAAGGGCAGGGCGGGCAAAAAACCCTCAGGGGAGAGCCCTGCAGGGCAGGAAAACTGCTCCCCACGGCCACTGCCGCTGGGAAGCTCTTGTGCCACCATCCTGCTGGCACCCTCCTGTGACATGGTGACTCCTGGACGGGTAAATCCTGCTGCCAGGCGGTTTTGGACGAGATGAAAAGGCTTCCCACAGGCGGGGGCAGGGCTGGGAGGGCGGCGGGATGGGGGCAGGACCGCGGTGGGTTCCTGCGGGCTGAGCAGGGCCGAGCTGGGCCCCAGCCCCCGCCGCAGCCCCGGGCCATGGAGCAGGGCCCAGCAAGGGGCGGGAAGCCGGGATTTAACCTCTAAAGATGCTGAGGAACGGAACGCAGCTCCCTGCTCTGGGATGGGCTTTGTAAAGGAGGGGCTGAGGGCGGGGAGGGGGGTGGGAGCCCCAGGGCTGCATCATCTGCTCCGAGCTCATCGCTGCACAGGAATCCCTTCGTGGGGAGAAAAACAGACTAAAAATCCCTTTAAGCCACTGGAAAAAGGCAGGACAAGGGGGAAGAGCTGGTAACCGGAGTCCAAGACACTTGCAAATGAAACAAGATGCACGTTTTTCTCAGGAGGGTGATTGAAGCCTTAGAGATGGGAGGAGTGAATCCTTGGGAATCTTGGAGACTGGGACAGAACGTGCTGGTCCTCTCAGGTGCACGGAGGAGCTGATCCCAACCGTGCCCTGCAGCCCCTAATGGGGCATCACTCAGGAGCCCTGTGCCTGCCGTGGGCAGCTGTGCCAGGGACACTGGGCAGAGCCCTGCACCCCCAGTGGGCACCCAGTGCAGGGCCCCAGCAGCACTGGGCACGGCCTGGAGCCCCGCAGGGCTCAGCCACCCCCAGCCCCGCAGCTCCCAGCTCGGGGGAGGACACGGGTGCGAGCACATTGTGGGGCAACACTCATGTCTGGGGGCTCCGCGGGGGGCGGGAACCAACCCGCAGGGTTTGGGGTGAGGGTCCCCAGTGCTGGGTGAGGGGCAGGATGGTCCGCAGGGATGGGGATGAGGATGGGGCGGGGACAGGGACGGGGATGGGGATGTGGACAGGAATGGGGACGGGGCTGAGGACGGGCAATAGGAACAGGAATGGGAATGGAGACGGGGATGGGTGTAAGGACGGGCGGGGCCGGCTCGGCGCGAGGGACCGAGG